AGGTAAACATGTGGGGTTTAAGTCTTTGCAAGATTCTAGTTTAAATCTCCCTGTTTTCAATGGCACATTGTAGATTTTTCAAGTACTGGTCTTGTCATCCAAGCAGCATGCTGCCTGCCTAATAAAGCATTTATCTGACACCCAGTTACCAATGAACACTTGTGAATACACCTTTTCTTTTGCTTGGAGCACTACCTGATGTTTGATCACTGTTTCACCACCTAGTTTTTAGGAAGTGATGTTAAAATACTACAAATGTGAAGCACAGTTAGTGCAAGGATTGTGATGCTGAATGACAAAAGTTCTTTGAAAGTGTTTTATTTTGGTTCCTAAGGATCCTGGATTGCTTTCATGCATTAGCGACTGGTTTATTCAGAAGTGGAGGCTTCACAGCTAAAACACCTCGGTTTAGAGGGCTGTTTGAGCCTTTAGCCTCTGCCCATCCAGACCATGGCTTATTCTAATTATGGCAATATGGACACTCACTCATCCATCAACAGCTGGACTGACATCAATCTATTTGACAAACTATGGTTTTCCAGTTACTGGAGAAAACCTCCCTAGTTTTCCTTTTAGTTGTTGATATTCACAACCCAAGTCATGACTCAAATCCTAACATACTGCTCTGCTGGTGGCTGTCTTTGAGGACTACCTTGGAGACGGGCTTAATACCAATGAAATGAGACAGACTGCACTTCATCTCCCAACCATGCAGCCCTTCTTGCTGCTCAGGCTGCAGTTCTGGACCTCCCAGTCTCCCAGAGCATAATACATGAAGTTGCATATTAATGTACCCTAAAACTGCATTTAATAACAAAAAAGCAAGAAATAGTATGTATTCCTTGCTATATTTTCAAGTCCCTTTTCATTTCTATTAACAGTTTGGAAACTGAAGTTGGGGATTTGAGTTACCTGCCCTAGACCACACCTTAGATGTGCAGCAGAGCCAGGAGTTCAGGAATGCCACCCGGGACATGCACATTGGTGTAAACGACATTGCCCAAAAAAACCTCTGGGGGTTGTTGACTATCTATTTTGAGACTTTGCTCATAGGAATTTACCCACCCCAGGTATCAACAGCACCCATCATTTTAATAAAGGGAGGAGTATTTTGACTTTGTAGACTGAGCTTGGTGAAAATGTCATGTCACATCCTAAACTGTGTTACTAGCTATTCAAGGTCCATTTTTCTGAGTAGATATCAAGGATAAGTTATTTCACTCATCAATATCTAAGTTTCCTTAAAATCCCAGCACTCAGGTTTCTTTTTCCAGGTTTTTTGTCCTACTGAATACTTTGAGAACATTGCTACATTGTCAAGACAGTGTTGTAGGCACCTGCCCATCCTTACATGGATTTCCCTTGCTTAGGTTGAGTTGATGTCAGAGAACAAGTTGTAGGAACAAAAAACCATAGCTCTGGAGAATGTCTGCTAAATGCAGCTCTTGGCTGTTTCTGGGTAATGGGGAAGGATCACCACTGAAGAGGATAATCCTGCCTGTGCACCGTGCCAGAGTGTTTGAGAGGAGTGAAAGCTGCAGGATGGGAAACTATGTGGACTGCTGAAAAGCAACAGAGAAGTGGGGAGAATAACTTAATGCTTTGTCTGACAGCAGAATCACAGAACTGTAGGATGGTTGAAGCTGGAACAGTCATCTGGTCCAACCCCCTTGTTGCTTAGGAAGGGCCTATCTGGGTGGTTTTTTAGTATGCCCAAGGATGGAGACTCCATCACCCCTTTGGGCACCCTTTTCCAGTGCTCAGTCACCCTCACAGTTCTCTCCTGATGTTCAGAGGGAACTTCCCATGTTTCAGTTTGTGCCCGCTGCCTCTGGTCCTGTCACTGGGCACCTGCACTATTTTCTTTGCACCATCCCTTCAGGCATTTACATCCATCAATGAGATGCCCCCGCGACTTCTCTTTCCCAGACTGAGCAGTCCCAACTGTCTCAGCTTCTCCTCATGTACGTGGTGCTCAGAAGAAACTTAGAGAGATGGAACAAGCAAGTGGCGATAGCATGAGTGGAGACTGGAATGGGGCAGAGTGAGTGGGTGCAAAGGAGAGGGATGTCTGTCTGCTGCTGGAGTAGGAAGTAAAGAAATGGAAAATTAAAGATTCGTTTTCCTAACATTGGTATTTGTCTTGCACCTTGCCTGTGAGAGGACAACCATGGATTTACTGGACAGGGAGGGAAAAGGGAATATTTAAAACATGCATGCATACTAACACCACCTTTTATGGCATGCTTAAGTCACACTCCTGCAGGCATATTGCTGCAACCTTCCCTGACTGATACCCACTAAAGCAGAAGGCTTTACAGTGAGCAGCACATATTAATTCAAACAGGGACTTCCGTGAGGGACTGTTAATGTACTGAAGCAGACTCTTCCCTCAGAAACACATATTTAGCATGGCCCAAGAATTAAGTCAATCCTCTGGAAGATATTCACATATACCATTTTTTCCACTACTAAAGAACCTTCACTGCCTTTAGTTGCGACTGCATAAATCCTAACAATTTATTTAACCAATTTAACCAATTCCTTACACGTGACTAATTTTAGCATGATGAATTGAAGTGCATGAGTGATTCTGGAAGCTGTCAGTGGAATCCTGAAGTGTCTCATCTTTTTTTTTTTCCCCCAGTAAAACCAGTGGATATACATTCTTTATGGTGTTTACACCTGCAAATCCCTCCACAATGAAGAAGATATACTCCTCCAAACTTTATATCCCTTCCAAAGCCAGTCATAGGCTTCACTCTGACCTCAATATTAACACTCTATGCTATGAGTAGATTGGTAAGTTTATGTTGGCATTATTTGAAGCAATATCTGTAAATCCCAGTTCATTGCAGTAAGAATATACTACTTCAGAGGTCACATTTTACAGAGACTTAAAAATCCGGTACTTGACAACCAGCTACTGAAGACAGTTACCTCTATTCATGGTTCATTTACTGTAAAACCAGTTTAAGAATGTATAAATAAGCCTGTAAAAAAACAAAAACCAAAAAACAGAACCAAACCAAACCTAGGCTCATAGGAAGCTCAACAGTTTCTGTGTCCTTTTATACTGGTCCAAAAGATTTCCAACTACACTAAAAATCTAACATGCTGCATTCCCAGATTAGAGCAAAGTAAATAGCTAGAAACTACTTAAATTATCCAGACTATATGCTACATTTTTAATTTAAAATAGATATGAGGAAAATAATCATGGCAGCTAGAACAGAACTCTTCTCTGTATACCTCTATTTTGTTAAAAATAAAAAACCAAAACCACCTCTACAATAATTTGGTAATAGATTATCAAACGTTAACCTTGTGCTTTTACTCATCAATACAAGAAATAGCGGCGCCTGGAAAAGAGACAGATATTAAATACAAGAGGAGAATATTATTTCTTTTGCCTAAGGAAAAGCAGGATGTATTTTTCAGCCCACAAATCCAATGACTATCTCACCCTTACGATCAAGAGTAACTTCACTGAAAACAACCACCTTTCTCCAAATCAACCAAAAAGCAAAATCAAGTCCTTTTTTGTTTTCCTGCCCCAAACTCCTTTCATTTCATAACTTTGAAAAATAATTACTGCAGCAAAGCTGTGGTTTCATTTACCATGGGTTGGTTAGACTGCATTTGCATGCTATATTCTGTGAGTGCTGTGAATAACAGCCTCCCAATAGCAACACCTTACAACAAAATTCCCCTAGGTAGGTATTGCTCAGACAGAAAGGTTTTGCTGGGATTGCCTCCTAATCATACCATAAACCCCATCTTTGGCCTCCTCTTACAGTCAGATTTTGACTGGCTTGGACAATGCCAGCTATCCCAGTTTTCCCCAGAAGTCTGTGGGATACTTTGCATTCTAGACTGTGTCCCTACCTGTATCAGGTGGTTGGAACTAGATGAACTTTAAGGTCCCTTCCAACCCAAACCATTCTGTGATTCGATGGAAATTTTGCAAGCTCACTCGAAGCAGAGCTGAAAAGGGAACTCAGTCTGGCTACCCTTCCACCAGCAGTCTGTGCCACTGTAAAGGCAGTGAGGCACAGATTCTATCGAGAGGGCATGGAGGGGCATGCACCTTCCTGCACTCTGCCTCTCCATCCCTTTGTGTGTGAGCAGGGAAGAGCTACCGGTTCTGTCCTCCCCTGTCTGCAGCTGCTTCTTTCTCCCCAGGGGCAGGAGAAGATGCAGTCCTGGGTGTTTGCTCCTCAGTGCTGATAGGTGATGAGCTGCCCCAGGGATGCAGATTCCCTCCTGGGGACAGACACCTGCAGGACTTTTTCCTAAAATGGGCCACTGTCGTCAATATCAGCATATTCTCGGGAGACACAGCAACCCTTTACTACACTGCTGTGAAGAGGAAGAGTAACATATAGCACGGTAACTACAGGCTTCAGCCAACGGCATTAGCCCTATGTGTTAACATTATTCCCCTTGAGGAGCTCAACTTTTTGCAGGACAGTGGACAGATACTTGTGGTTACAAGCAAATTTTCTACTATAACAAGATCCGATCACATTTAAAAGGCTTAGTTATCTGCTCTTCACCAAACCCTTTGCTTTGGTGGACAGAGAACTGGAGAACAAAAGTTAAGCAAGAGTGGCGCTCCTACCAGCATTGAAAAGTCTTCCATCAAGACTTCGTTTCTTCATAGGAAGCTTGTTCTTTGGTAGGTGTTACTTTAGTAACACAACTCCCTTGATTTATTCTTGTGCGGGAGTATCTGGGCAGAAAACCGCACTCGAGTGGTCCCTGCATGCGCAGAGAGCCTCCGGCGCTGCGCGCCGGCATAGCTGAGCGCAGCTCCGGGCGAGACAAACCGTGTTGAGCGGGGTCAGCAGGCGCTGCGGCAGCACCAGCACTCGGACACTTCTGCACCGGCCCCGGGGTGCCGCCCGCAGCTGGAGGCCACCCGAAAACTGCTAGCACCCGCCGCCGCTGTGCCGCGGTTCCGGGCGCCCCGGGGGATCCCTCGCCATCGCCCCGCTGCCCCTCGACCCGCCCGGCTACCCTTTACCTTCGTCCCCGGCCCGTTCATCCTCCAAGGAGCGAAAGGGAGTGGGATCGGCGCTACGGTGCGGCTGCCCAGGTGAGAGGGGCGGGACCCGCCGATGCCGCCGGCACCTCCCCCGGGGCCGGGCCTCCCCCCTGGAGCTCCCCCGCCACCCCGCCGGGCTGGAAGCGCTCCAGGAAAATGAGTCCGTGCTCCGGGGCTCCGCTGGGGAAGGAGGACAAACCGGCTTCACAGAGTTGTCCCTGCCCCCGGCCCCCCGGCCTCCCCCCGTGCCAGTGCCCCGAACAGATCGTTTTCTGCCCCGATCAGGAACATTCAGTAACGGGGAAAAGCGCTCGGGGAAAGTAAGATGAACCGTGTTCTCTGAGCCTGGCTTGGTTCAGTATGCTAATAGTTACACAGCCTTCGGAAAGAGGCAAACCCCTTAGAGAGAGCGATAAATCCATCCCTAAGCAGATAGCTGTTTGCTGATGGTTTTCAGGATCCTTGGGCAAAATCAGCCTGACAGTTGAGGAGAAGGGAGACAGACTGCCCTGGATTGAGAGAGGGCAGAACGGCCCTGATTTGTATCAAATCCCAACTGCTAGAGGTTGGACCAGAGGCATACGTCAAGCAGCCTACTTTCATCTTTGGGGTGTTTTAGTTTGCAGCAAGTACTGGGTAGGTGGAACACATCAACTTGGGAATGACATCTTTGGGCTTGACTGGACATGATTCGCTTTGCTCTTTCCTTCATGCTTTAAGAACAGCTTGTGCCTGATTTTCCTTATGGAATACTGCTATTTCTTGGGAGTTTATTAACATCATCATTACTTTTATTGCTCTGTAGTGGTATGCAAGGCCTCAGTGAGGGAGTTCTACATGACACTCAGCATGCAATAAAAACCAGTCCTTACCCAGAAAGGTCAAAGGCTTGCAGACAAGATAGTGGACAGCACTTGAATGTCACAAAAGCAGAGCAATATTAAAGATGACTGGGAGCTGTGGGACAAGTAATGATCAAGTCACAGTAGCTGCCCCCGCAAAACTACAGACCACAATACAAAACATAAGCAAAGGGTTGAACCTGTGCAGAAAATCATTTCTAGAGAGGAGAAGCAGAACCAGCGTGGGTCAGCAAGTTCTGTCAGATTGAGGCTAAGGACTGTGAAGAGCTGCCCTATTTCTAGGGGTGAAGACACACAGTTAGCAAACAGTCCTTGAGCCCCCCATAAGTCCTAGATAGTGCACATATGGAGATGTCCTCAACATCCCCCCACTTTGTGGCCATACATCTGCAAGAACAGCTGTCTGGGAGCCCATGTCTTTGGTAGTCTCCCAAAGGTCTTTGTCCTGCATAGATGAGGTGAATGGGAGGTTTGCTACAGCCTCAGCTGCACACAGTCATATTCTTGTACACCTGGAACTGTGGCCCTGGTACAGGTCTCAGAGGAGGTATAACCTTTCCTCTTCAGCACCTCCGCAAAAGTGCCAGGTGTCAACCAGCCAGCTGCAAGCCTCAGAACTGGCTTTGCCCAGTTATTTCAAGGGTTTGTCACAGCCTGCCCTGGGACCCTGCTTTCCCCAGCGGGAAAAATTAGGGACTAATTAAAGCATGCCTCTTACTCCTGCAATTTTGTTCAGCTAGGCTGCCTTCCCAATAAAGACCCAGGAAAAAGAGGATGGATCTCACCCAGACATGGCATCATGATCAAGGTGAGGTACTTACATGGACACAAGGGCTCAAATGTGTCACAATGCTAAGTTTTGAATACAGCCACATAGACTTTTTGCAGTTCCCATGCAGGCCTTTCTCTGCATTTCTCCTTGTACCATCCCCTTCAAGCTGATATGACTTTTGAAGACTCACTAGAGGAATGCTGAGACCAGCCAAAGCATCAATTCTTTGCAAGCTCTGAGAAGCTGACATGAGAAACACAGAAGGCTCAGCCTCATCACTAACAACTTAGTATGTGGCAGACAATTGTCATTTTGTGTGTATCCTGAAAGGAGGACACCATCCTGCAGCAATCGTGCTGTCAGCAAAGAGCACAGACACAGGTCCTCTCAACTTTTTATTCACCTGTAACTTGGGACCAGACTGCTGACACTAATTGCAGTGCTTTAGGAGATAAAAAGTAACTCAGTCTTTGTTTCTGGGAAAACAACCCAAATATAGGGGATTATTTCTGCCTACTTTTCTTCTAGAAGAAAAGTAAAACAAAAAATAATTTTATTTTTTTTAAGTGCATTTTGCATGTATGTAGATTTTAGCATGTACTAAGGACCTTACTTCAGTCTCATTATAATACTCCCACTGAACTTAATGGGAATGTGGCTATTTATATTTTGATAGGGATGGAATTAGGTCCTTCATTCGAACTTTATGGACTTTTATTCCTTTTTTTGCTAATCTATTTCATCATTTTTAATTTGCTTTTGCTGTGTTCTGAGAACATTGTAAGTACATTCCAGCCTCTTGAATAGCATCTTTAATTCTAGTATGAAAACATTGTGCCTCCTAGTGGGTAACATACACAGGCTTCAACTCTCCTTCAGATTGCATTTTCATGCTAATTTCCTGAGACTTTCTTCTTTTAGTACCAAGGAGGTGATTTTCAATATTTTCATTGCTCTTGAAGTCCCCCATTTCTTTCCTATGCTGCCTACTTTGCTCTTTCTTGCATGTAGCCTGTTAGGTTCTGCATTTGGCCTCTGCAATTTTCTTTGCTGTGCATAAATCTGTTATTAAAATTCCCATCATCCACAAACCCGTTTGTGAGGAGCCCATTTCTGAGATATTATTGCGATCACACAAAGAGAAAGAAAAAGTGGGTTTTTGCATACCAGCCTGAGTGGACTTGCCTGAGTACATATTCTGTGCCTGAATTGTACTGTGACAGCAGTAGAGTTCATGTTTCTTAGGCAAGTGAAATGCCTGCTCTGTGGATTTGGGAACTCTTTCAAGAGGTATCCAAAACTTGTCAGAGATAAGATCCAGAATACTGCTTTCATTTGGTGAATTCCCCAGTCAACAGAAGCAAACGTCAAACTCCAGCACCAGACCAGTAGATCTAGATACAGCAAGGCCCAAAATCTGTTTCTGCCTCTTTAGCTGGCTGCAGCCTGGCTCTAGCTTCAGCCCAAAGAATCCACATGTAGTTTGTGAAGAGACAAGCTCTAGGTATCTGCTGGTGGTCAAGCTGAGGTGTCCTTGCCCAGACACTCCTTCCTGACTCAATTGCAAGGACCAGAGCTTGGTCTTCCTAGGCTTAGGCAGACTCCAGAGCTCAGATTAAGTTTCCACTTGACCATTTGTTTGGCATTAGCAAAGCTCACAATAAAATGTTTCTGGTCCTGCAGACAGATCTGGTCCCATGAATGGCATACTCAGTCACATCAGAATTTCCTCCACTGATCTCACAGTAGGCAGGATTAGGATGGTTTTGCCACTTAGACAAAAAGTTTTTCTTTATTTTTTTCATTTATATTTGGCCAGCATTAAAAATGCTGCTAGATCTTAACAGAGAGGAAATAATCTAAAATTAGCATTGCTTAAAATGAACAAAGAATTTTTATCCCTGAACACACATAACTCACATATAAGTTAGAACATTAATCCTGAAGAGGCCACGATTTGCCAGACTGCAAGCTGAATTGGAGCATAGAACACAGTTTCACTATTTTTTTTAAGCCAGACCTTATACACTGTCTTGGGTTTAATCTCGCCTTAGGTTTCCAGGTCATCGCAAGGACAAACAGCAAAAAAAACCCCAACAAACATTAAAGGTTGACATCAGAAGCTGAGGCAAATAGATATCTAACAAGACGCTATGGCTGTGTATTCACAGCTGGGTGAATAGGACACTGCCTGATGGAGATTTGTCCTGTAATGTGTACTCAGAAATTCATTGCTTTTGTCACTGGCTAAGAAAGAACCATTCTTCAGAATGGAAGTGTCATTTACCAATAGTATTAGTAATAGTATTAATAATGATAAATTTTACTTATTTTGGGCTTTATGTTGCATTTTAAGTGCCTGGTTCTTGTATACACATCTTATTTCATAGAATCATAGAATCACAGAATCATAGAATGATAGAATGATAGAATCATAGTTAGGGTTGGAAAGGACCTTAAGATCATCTAGTTCCACCCCCCCCTGGCATAGGCAGGGACACCTCACACTAGACCATGTCTCCCAAGGCTCTGTCCAGCTGGGCCTTGAACACTGCCAGGGATGGAGCATTCACCGCTTCTCTGGGCAGCCTGTTCCAGTGTCTCACCACCCTCACAGTAAAGAACTTCTGCCTTCTATCTAACCTTAAGTTCCCCAGTTTAAGTTCAAACCCATTACACCTTGTCCTATTGCTACAGAACTTGATAAAGAGCATCCTTGTAGGCCCTCTTCAGATACTGGAAAGCTGCTTTCCAAGCTCTTCCTCTGCTTCAAAAGCCCTCAGATGAAATGAAGGGCTAATTCTGTCCCACACTGCTGCACATCTCCAAGGACTTTTCTGACAAAAAAACAAAAAGCACAGAGGAGTTTTGTCATGGCATGAAATGGTCACAGGCCACTTGAGAGAGGTCTCAGTTCAAAGAGTTTTCAGCAGGCTTTAGGTAGTCCTGAAAGCCTTTGACTTTGCTGGGACTGCTAGCATGAGTAAAGGTCTGCAGGATCCTTAATTAATTCTGCTGTTATCTATAGGTGTCAGAGTGTATGAATTATTTGATTTGCCCTAGCTAAACATTTATAGTGTAATCTTTGTATGTAGTCAATGCTGTAACATTTTAAGTACATATCAGCTGATCCTATAAACTGCATCAGATATGTACAGTGGCTCCTTGTCTTGCCTTGAAGTGGTTCATTTGGTTGGCAGACAATCAATTTACTGTTTAGGCTTTTTCTTTAACCAGTTTATCTGTCCTCAACTGATAGTTTGATTGGGCTCTTTTTTGTTCTTATGAAATAAATAAAATGAACTATAAAACCAGTATAAAAATAGCACAGGAGAATTTGTAAACTACAAGCCAGAAGGCCACAAACATCACACAAAGCAAACACTCATGAGAGATATCACTTTCCTCTAGACTTACCACAAATCAGAAGAGAACACTATGTCACATTTTGAAGAAGATCTAAAGATAGCTAAACACTCAACTCAAGGAGCCAGTCTGGCAGAATTAAGCAGCACTGAGCCATTTGCAACTAAAACATGGAACATATACCTCATCACATATTTCAGACAAGATTTTATCTTCCTTAATATATTTAGGACACCTAAGGGCAGGTATTTTTGTCAGGGAAGTTCACATGAAGACATTTTTCTTTGTTCTCTCATTATTAGGCACACAAGGCTTTGATGGATCCCATGGTTGTCTCGTGACTCTGGAATAAACAGTGTCCTGGGTTCAGCAGTAGCAGTCATTTTTCTCCTTCTTAGTAGCTGGTGCAGTGCTGTGTTTTTGACTTTCAGCCTGGGAACAACGCTGATAACACCGATGTTTTTAGTTGTCGCTCAGTAATGTTTACTCTGACCAAGGACTTTCTGAGTCTCATGCTCTGCCAGGGAGGAGGGGAAGCCGGGAGGAAGCAGAGACAGGACACCTGACCCAAACTAACCAAAGGGGTATTCCATACCACAGCACATCATGTCCATTGTATAAACTGGGGGCAGTTACCCAGAAGGCCCAGATCACTGCTCGGTTGGGCTGGGTATCGGTCAGCGGATGGTGAGTGGTTGTATTCTCTTCCCCTGTTGTTTCCCTTATCATTATTATTATTATTGGTGGCAGCAGCAGTGGTTTGTGTTATACCTGAGTTACTGGGCTGTTCTTATCTCAACCCGTGGGAGTTACATTCTTTCCATTCTGGGAGCAGGGGGAGGAAATGGGGGGAGTGAGCGAGCAGCTGCGTGATTTCTGAGTGACAGGCTGAGCTTAAACCACGACACAGTGCCACTAATAAAATCAGATGAAAGCGGCATCATCTAATTGGAAAACAGCTTTATGGAACCCAGTAATTTCTGACTTGTACTGCTGTGTCTTCAAAAAATTAGGTGTTGCAGACCAAACTTGTACTGAAAGCTGCGCGAAATAAAAATCTTCTCTAGCTCAAGCAAAGTTCTCTACCCTTTTTTACTGTTTCCCACAAGCAAACACTAACTGAGAGCATTGGGAATTTGCTGACATGTGTTTTGCTATAAAATAGGATTCATCTTAGCCATTAAAGGGAAATTCCTCTTGTTTCATTTTGGCAGGTTGTGTTCTTGCTGAAGATATCTTTCCTCCTGGAGAGACATGAGCATGGCTTTCAAGAGCTACAGCACTTTGAAGAAGTCAGCTACTTGCCATGGGCACAAAAGAAAGAAGTGACATGAGTTGGTTTGTGCCTGTAAAACCTCAGGGTAATGCTTCAGACACAAAACCATGTATTTCACTCTTTTAGAGCACTCCATAGCAGGACTATGCTGTAAGCAATCCTTTGTCAAAGATGATGATTACATCACAGACTGCAACACCCGTACATGGATGGACAGGCCCAGGGCTTATGCCAAGGCAGCTGATGAATAAAACCACTCATGAGTCCTTAACATTTTTAAAAGTCATCGGGGTTATGGGACAAAAGACAATATGCCTGTGCAAAACATGTGTTAATATGATGTTTACAAATTAATGTTTCTGCACCTGCTAGAATACAAATATTTTAACAGGTACATTTTAAATCTCTCCAGTGTTATAGCACTGAGAAAACACTATCCCGCTCATTGTATAGAAATAATATGATTTTTTCATCTCTGCAATAATGCTATGAATCTGCACAAACACAATCACTCCTTAACAACTAAGAAGACAGACGCAGCACAAGAATTCTTGTATTTGCATGCCACAGTGTCTAACTCAGAGCCATTGCATCAGACTGTCAATATCCAGATCTGCAAGTCATGCCTAGCTACAAATATCCTCAGTTCAGAAAGTTCAGCCCTCTTCTTGACCTTTCTACTTTCTATTATATGCATTGCTGAATTAATGTAAGCACATACAAGAAAGAGTAACATTACATTACCTAGGAATGACTAGAGAGATTTAATTTAGAAAACCTTTTTGTGAAGATCTACTCGATACAGCAATTGCCAGAGAAAAAAAATCACTGAACTGTTCTACTCTGTGTCACAATAAAATTGTATATTCTTCATTAAAATGCCTATGCTTGTCTCATGGTGTCTACAAAGTTAGGTGTAGTTGTGGAAGGCTTGGAGAAAAACGATTTCCAGAGCATGAACAGAAAGGCTCAACAACAATTTAAAAACAAAACAAAGCAGAAACAAAACCAAAACCCAAACCATACCAGTTCATGAAGGAATATGGTGGCAAAACTACACATTTTTCTCATAACTGCACAATTCTGCCTGAGGTAAATTGCTGAAATCTGCTCATTTCCACAAACAATGCATACGACTTGAAAGCATCCAAGAGTTTAGTTTCTCTTCCCAGCTGTGGTAAAATCATCTCTTCATAGGGGTGTTAAAATAACATCTTCAAAAAGGGCAGAGAAGTCTTTCATACAGAGCAAATGAGAGTATGTAAGGCTGTGATTGGTTCAAGGTACAATGCTGGAAGCACAGCAACAAAGAGGCGCAGTGTCCTGAAGGTAGCCTGAAGTTCACGAACCTGTGGGGTGTGGATCAATGAATGGCTGCATATGAACAGTTTAGTCAGGAAGTGCAACATGACATCTGCCAAGCCTAGGGCTCCCAGCCTGGCTGCAGGCTGCAGCTCATCCAGCCATTAGACTGCATAGAGGTGTGGATGAATTGCTGGAGGGGTGGAAACCAGCTCCTACCCACCTTGCTTCCATCTTTGTCATCATGCTGGATTGCTGTATGTGCTCTACATGGCTATGTTGTAGAGCTATATATGGGCTTCTTTCCTGGGAACATGGCAGAGCACCCTGGGCTCAATCAGGTGCTGTGGTCACAGCTGTTACATGTCCTCCTTTAGAAGAGGCAGACTGATCAATCTGCTCGTAGGCCCCTTAGGTTGGAAAGGTTATATGCTTGTCGTAACACACAGACCATGAGATCTCCAAAGCAACGCACTCCTGGCAAAAGTCACAGACAGAGGTAAAGCCACCACTCAGTTGAGTGAAGGCTTCCGATGTGAAGGACAAAGGGTATGAAAGTTACTACTCCTCTCCAACATTTTTCTGGTAACAGAATGACCACATGAAATCTCAGATCAGAGAGCAGTCCTACCAACTCCTGAAAACACTTTCTAGAAAATGTAATGAACTCCAAATGCAAAAATACCCAGGCTTTTGCATTCTGCATTGCAATTTAGAATGCAGACCATTTGCAATCACATACAGATATGTGCAACTCGTTTGCTGATTCAGACCATTTTCACCCACAAGTCAGGCAGGTAAAATATTCTTTATTTGCAGTCAGAAATCACTGTGTGCTATGTTTCCAGGCTTATATTAATAAATCAAGTTCAAATCAATTTTAAAATCTGACCTTTAAAATGACATAATGGGCTTCTCAATGTACTGTTTGAGAGTGATTATTTTTCCATAGTAGGTAATTTCAGATAATAAGAAATACCACAACTGCAGCTAAAGAAGGAAACAAACTCCAGGAAAACATGACTCTGCCTTAGACTTAAGACAGTACCAGTTAATTTTAACTAAAAGAGAGATGTGATTTTGCAGAGACTATACTGCCTCAGTTTCCCTTCAAACATCAAAATTAATCCCATTACTTTTGTATCTTTCTCCTCTTCTCTCTTTAGGGAGTTTCTTCCTTACAGTTTTTGCCCTTTCCCCCCCACCTGCCTACAGGGATACACCCTTGTTTCTATTTAAAAAAAACAGTTTGCCATGTTTTCCTTTCACCAATAACTGCTTTTCAAGCTACTGCCTTCTCTCACCATCCTCCTTTCACCTTCAAGATTGTGGACTATGCTGTTTGCTTTCTCTACTTAATTGTCTTGCAATTAAACGGTGACCCCTTACATCATGTTTCTGGCTTATGCTCTATCCCTGTTCCATCAAATTGCTCTTTTAAAGGTTGATAATGTTCTCCATCTATCTGATGGAGTTCTTGGAAGAGTAAATAGTGACAGTGACCGTTCACTCAAAGGACAATTGGGATCGCTTGGTCATCTAAGCATAACCAGAGGTATGATTCTACATACAGGAGACATCAACTGGAAACAAGGAATGATCAAATACAACCAAGGGAGCAAAACTGTCTCAAAGCAGTTCTGCCTCTTCCTATCTATGACCATCATCACATGCCTATCCTACCTCATGGCCAAAAGTAACCGGATGATCAAACTGAAATTAATCTAACAGCATTCACATGATATTACTGTCCACTGCAAGAAGGTCACCATCTGCAGCTACTTCTGCTCTTTTACTCACATGGCTCTGAAATGAGACTGACAGGAAATACTGAAGGCAGATGGATTGCCTTCTCATCATCTTTTGTACAAGGAGGAGTTTAGCATTTGCTAGCAGTTAATAAGGCTATCATTACACAGACACACTTGCTTCAGCCGAAGGTTAACAAAACTTCCTTGAAGAAATGTGATACCCTATTCTACAGAGGGGCAATGGAGAAAAGGATCAGAAGTACAGTCCAGAATCAAAGGGACTGAATTCACTGAAACTCTTGAGAAAATTCCTTGTCTTCGTCCCTGAAAGATTACATTCTTAGCCCAGCTATGTAAAAACTCTGCAAAGGCACTCAGATACACATCCACAGGCTGGTCAGGCACTTTTCCTGACTTCTTTCTTCACAGAGGCCATCTGTTTTTTCCCACCGGTCTCTGAATCATAGAATCACAGAATAGTTAGGGTTGGAAAGGACCTTAAGATCATCTAGTTCCAACCCCCCTGCCATGGGCAGGGACCCCTCACACTAAACCATGTCACCCAAGGCTCTGTCCAACTTGGCCCTGAACACCGCCAGGGATGGAGCATTCACAGCTTCCCTGAGCAGCCCATTCCAGTGCCTCACCACCCTTACAGTAAAGAATTTCTTCCTTATATCCAATCTAAACTTCCCCTGTTTAAGTTTTAACCCATTACCCCTTGTCCTATCACTGCAGTCCCTAATGAAGAGTCCCTCCCCAGCATCCCTATAGCCCCCTTTCAGATACTGGAAGGCTGCTATGAGGTCTCCACGCAGTCTTCTCTTCTCCAGGCTGAACAGCCCCAATTTTCTCAGCCTATCTTCATATGGGAGGTGCTCAAGCCCCCTGATCATCCTCGTGACCCTCCTCTGGACTTGTTCCAACAGTTACATGTCCTTGTTATGTTGAGAACACCAGAACTGCACACAGTACTCCAAGTGAGGCCTCACGAGAGCAGAGTAGAGGGGCAGGATCACCTCCTTCGACCTGCTGGTCACGCTCCTTTTGATGCAGCCCAGGATACGGTTGGCTTTCTGGGCTGCGAGCACACACTGCAGCCGGCTCATGTTCATTTTCTCATCGACCAACACCCCCATGTCCTTCTCCGCAAGGCTGCTCTGAATCTCTTTTTGCCCAACCTGTAGCTGTGCCTGGGATTGCTCCAACCCAGGTGCAGGACCTTGCACTTGACATGGTGAATATAGTGAATGGTCCACAGTCACACATGTTTTATTTCTTGTCCAACTGGTTCTCTCTTTCCTTCCAACCTATTTATTCCAGGAATCCCCTAAAAGGTGAGCCTGGGTTTTCTTTTTTAAGCTAGAATATCTCATACCTACATTTAATTAAATAACTGTTCTTGAAAAGGTCTTGACCTATCTTATAGACTGGAGCAGAAATGGAAAAATCTAACATTGGTTGGGTTTTGCTGACACTTTCTAAGTATGTGATATTTCACATATTACTTAATTGGTGCTAAAGCCTAGTTCAGCTACAGGGCTGGTTGTTATTCATCTCTTGTGGTTGTGGAAAACATCCTCTCCTTGTTCCTGGAGAATGTATAAACAGTCTACATTCAAGGTTTCTACATTCACAACAAAGGCTCTCACCTAGTGGAGGTTTTTTGACACAGGATGGTGATATTACACAGCACAGCGAAATGTACTTATTGGAAGAGATGCAACACACATCATGCATGAGGCTTATGCAAATGGTGTGGATTTGCTTAGACTTTTTAGTATGGGTGACAAAGTGAGTAATTTTAGACATGGAATGTCTCCTTGCATGGGAAATGGAAGTTGGTAAATCCAGAGAAGACAAATACACTTAGTTTTGGGATGGGGTAGAATAGGCAGTGAGGCAAGTACCACAGATTTGCTTACCCTGAAATGGTTCTGGATCCTCAGATTCTACCAAGTCCAATTTAAATATTTGGAAGCTTATGTTTAATTCTGTTTTCATGCCTGTGGCACAATAATTCATGTTTGGCCGTGATGTGAGGAGTGACACAGTGAGATTATCTGTGCTGTGCTGACGAATGCTATTAAAATAGCATCAAGATGATGAACTACAAACTCATTCAAGGGTCTCTCAGCTTGCAGAAGCTCTAAATAGAGACAGAGGGGAAAAAAACAAGCAAACAAACAAACCAGCCAGACCCAGTAAGTAGATGAGAATTAAAGCCACACCTAGCTTCACATAAGCAAAAAATTCCAGAAATAATGATTTATAAATTCCCAGAAATACTGCTATCTGAGCACCCTCTAGTGGTACACGGTTAAGAATAATAAATCCAGAAATGAAAATGTGATCCCACAGGTTAAAAATAAGCAGAAGATTTAGTATTTCATTGACTTTGTTCAGGCAATTAATCACTCTATGTGTGTGTCCATTTCGAAGACAGGGAAGTAACTCAACATTCAAAACCAGTTTTGATATTTATCTCTTGGCATTTTGTTCCCAGCATTTCCTTAATTTTCACATCATCTAACTCGTTAAAGGCTTCTGTTCATTTAGAAGTGTTCTATTGATTTGTTTTAAACTCATTTTCTTTGGAATGTGAGATTAAAATAAAATGAAAAATAATAAGCCAGTATAGCAATACAGAGGGAAGGTGGGAGATCTAAATTCTGGAATATTTCAGACAGTTCGTGAAGCCTTGCGACCTGGCTGAGAGTACTGAATATAACCATGATCCACTAAAAATGTGTGTTCCATCTTAACCAGTCATCTATTGAAGGAAAAAAATCAAAGTGAGGACCTCAGCAAATATGTCTAGTTTCCAATTATCTCTTTTTCACCTTCTCCTTACATACCTGAGAGAAATAATTTCTACATTGATTACAAGATATGTAGCCAGAGGGGTCATTTAAAATCTTTGGTGGAGCATGTATTTGAGAAATACAAGCAGAAAAAAAAAACCAAAACCCCACAACTTCATTACAGTTAATTACAGTTAAATGGATTTGGAAGAGAAACTACTCATATTTTAAAGGCAGCCATGAAAAAAAAAATTGTAATGAGTCAGACCCTGATCTGCACTTACCCCAGCTTGCATTGGTGTAACCCTGCTGCCTTTGGAAGAGTTTTACTCCCTCTATACTCTCCAAGTGAGATGGGAATCAGGCCTGCAGCCTACCTGCCCACCCTTGCCATGGTAATGATGATAACGATAATGAAAAAAATTAATGGACCTGGAGTCAGTATTAAAAATTGCTTGTACGTAATACTAATTTTCCTCATGGCTGTGAAGCCCTCTTTCTGAGGAGAAGGAAAACAGAATAGTTACCAGATGTTCACATAATGACGAACACTAATAAGGGGAGACATGCATGCTAATAAGCTGGGGGAGGGGAACCAGAGGGGCACTCATCAGTGTGCAGCTGAAAGCGCAAATCCTCCCATCGAGTATTCTGGAAATCTGATGGCATGTCATGCTGGCAAATAGGCTACAAACTGAGATCAGTCCCAGATGAGTAAAACAGCATCTCCAGAATCTGCTTCCAGCTCTGGCCAGGTGAAGATCAGCCTGTCTTTCACCATGCTGTTAACAGTGTTCAGACAGGAATTTTCACCACATGTGACATCTTCTAAAAAATTATTATTGCAGTCACAAATGAATAGTCAAACTGAGATGACCTCATGGGTCCAGCAGAAAATAACAGTGAAGAAAGAAAGAGACGTGTGGATCAGAGCTGGGAGGAGAACAAAGATGCCCTTTGTACTCTCTGATCTGTATATCACACAAACAAATTGAAGCTTAAAGGCTTGCCTGCATGCAGAGTTGTAGGGTCTTCTTTCAAAGTGTGTTTTAAAACCTAATGTAGCTGATTTAGTGCAAAAGCCAGAAAAATCAGTCATCCCTTAGTTTAAACTCAGCTTATTTTAATTCAGTTTAGGTCAGACAAGCATGGACTTATGCTGAAATATGCTATTCACCCCAAAGTAAGGTCTGTATATAGGCTAACAGTACTCTAACTAACCCACTCAATTATGTGCAGACAGGACCTGCTCCCACGTCTTGCAGAGGCAATGGACTTCAGGCTACCATAGGTGCAAAACCTCTGCTTGCAATTCACTTCCTCCCAAATTTCTGTGAAGATTTTGAAGAGATGTTAGGTTCTGGGAGGACCTCAGCAACATGAGTCCTGGCAGCTTTATTAGAAGATAAATTTGTTCAATTTGGTCATCCTGAGCAATCTTAGGAAGCTCATCATCAAAACTGAGCAATGTTAAAGGATATGTCTTCAGAAAGAGGCCTCCTTAGAAAGAAAATCCTGGTCCACAGCTTTTAACGTGCTGAGGATTGCTTGGCCACATCCACAGTGCCAATCTAAGGATCTACAGATTATAGTTCTACATAGCCAGAGGCAAGATTGCCAATATGGAGAGTGGTGTAAAACAGAATAGGTGGGTAAAACTGCATAGCTGGGCCTATGCTGATGTACATCAGCTAAAAATGCCTTTGGGCCTTTTTGACGTGTAAATAGGTCTTTACAAAAGGTTAACATTTCATGGAGGAATACTCACCTACTAGGTTTTTATTTTTCAGTAACAGATGTGACACTTAAATCATTACTGAAAGTTGTTACATCAACTTCCACATGAGGTTCAGATTGAAGAGAGGCTGCTGAGGACACTTTCTCTCCTGATTAATATGAAGATGATAGAATTTGTTCTTAGTTGCTTTTTTTTTCTAAATGCTAAGAGGAGACTGAAGAGAAACATTTGCCATTTAGTTCTGTTTCTACTGATTAGGGAAAATCTCCAGGAACTCGCCAATAAAGTTGACAAGCAGGTATTCTTTATTGTGGTGCCAGGAGACACGGGGGATAGCTCCTCCTAGTGTGTTTCCCGAATTGCTAAACAAGCCATCCTTATATAGTCACTAAACATACATATTCATTACGTACATACATGCATATTCATGAGGCTACTTCTGTATCACATCATTCTTCTAGAAAGTTTCCCCGCATGTGGTGTTCCTGCTCCGGCAGGGGGATTGGACTAGATGATCTTTTGAGGTCCCTTCCAATCTCTAGCATACTGTGATACTGTGATACTGTGATGTGTACAGAAACGTGGTGGTGGTGGTCTTTGAGGGTCGTTTACTTCTTCCAAACAATCTTCATCACTTCTGGCAGTCTTTGATGCACGTGCAGTAGATAATGCTTACACCAGCTTAACTGGTTTGGTAAGACTGCAGACATAATCATCCTGTCCTACTTACCAGTTAGCTTAGCTGCAGCCCATCCTGAACATCTGCTAGTTTCAGATACTCTATCTATATGTCCTGTTTTTCTATCCTGTTTTTTCTTACACTTGTTTTTGCACTAAGGTCATAAGGACCTAAAAGTATGCCAACTACAATGGTTTATCTTATACAAGGATTCTCATTATGTTTTCTAGCTGCACTCCACCATTTTTTTTTCTGTGAAACATGTACCTCAGTCATTTTCCATTGCTACTGTTACAAAGCCATCAAACTTGCTTAGAACTGATTCTACTTATTTGTAAAGGTTTGTATTCCATTTTGTGCCTCCTTGTCTCAAATCCCCCCCCCTTTTTTTTTTTGTCCCTTTGCAAATTCTTTTGAAAGAAATAGAAAACATGATCAAGAAAGATAAATTAGAAAAATAATTCAGAAAAACTCAATTTCCTAGTAAATTCTAATTAGTCTCACAGAATGCACTGAAATGAAATGCAAAACGGGAAGTCTGAATTCATCAAGATGCAATGGCTGCACAGTATGGAAGCCAGTGAAATTATATGAATTCCTTTAACTTTGGAAAAAGTCTTTAGAAAAGTAAAAGCATCTTTGCTTTAGCAAATGGTTGTAGTGGCAGAGCTCGATCGATGTACCAACAACAGGATTAAGTGCAGAGCTAAAAAAAACCCCGAACACAAGTGTTCTAAAATTTACACTTGAGGGCAGAGAGCGCGTCAAAAGGTGAACTAGTCTGATGCCTACCTGACACATAAACTCATCCCTACCTGAGTGATCCAACAACATTGTTAGATTGCTCCTCTATGCATTCCCTGCAAGAGCAAGGATAATAGGGCTGGAAGCAGCTTCAGGAGATCTACCCTGGCTGCTTTTGTGGAGGCCAGACCTTATATGAGATTAGGATCTACTGGGGACAGCTGTCCAACTCACTGTTACAAATGTGGACTATGTCTGGAGATGACACTGGCCCATGGAAGGGTGAAAGTTTTCCAAACCCAGTCATATTTTGCTGCGTATTAGACTCATTTATACCTGTTCTTTCCCTAAGGACAAACAAACCAAGCTCTTCTAGTCCTCTAGTCATTCTTGCGATGGTCCTCCAGACTACTTCCAACTTCTGGCACAGTGCAAGGTGCACTGAAAAAAGAGGTTTTGGAAGGCCAAATGAATGCTCAGGCTGTGTAGATAAAGCTATAAATAACTGGTAAAAACCACTGCCATTCACTTGGTGAAATCAGCCTTTGCAGAACTTCTAGCACTGCTCCTACATGCACACCAAGGACTTTAGTTAAGCGTAAACATGAGAGCTGAGATGTCTAAGTCACTTTTCCAATCTGAGGAACCCCTAATCACCAGCCACACAGGCAGCTGCATTTTCCACTGTGACTGCAATTATAAAGGGTGTGGAATCCACCAGATTAGTGAGAAGAGACTCTCTGCACCCCTTCAGCCTGTCTCTGCCTCAGCTCCCCATAATGGCCCATGTCAGGCCAGTGCAGAAATCTCTCCTCTGTCCCACTGCTCCTATTGTAATCCCCACTGATGTGGCCATGTTGCAGATAAAGTGGTCTCTGCCTTTTGCACTCCTGGTAATAGTGCTGCTGCCCAACAGGAACGAGGCAATGGTATGCCAGTTCATAGCTACTGCACGACCGCTTCTGACAAGAGGCAACAATGGAAAGCGTAAAGAAAATTTAGTGCAGGGAAAAATTACCTGTATGCATTTGTGATTCTCAAGGTTGGAATTTGGTCAAAATACTTCCATGTGTGCTGAAAACGTTATGAAAACTTTAACAGCCTAAAGAAGTTAAGATGTTGGGTTTTCACCTTTTCTGAGAACAGTCAAGTCACTGGCCATGTACTGATCAGAACCTCCAAAGATTGGCTTTGGACACGAAAGCACCAAAGCATATTGATTGACTTTAAATACATGAATAATCAACAGCCAGAATGGCTTCACTAAGGACAAATCATACCTGACAGATTTGGCGTCCTCCTACAACAGGGTTACAGCATTTGTGGATAAGGGAATGTCATCTTCCTGCACACTTGCAAGGCATTTTATGCTGTTTTGCACAACATCTTTGTTTCTAAAATGAAGAGACATGGATTTGACAGGTGGACCACTCAGTGAATAAGGAATTGGCCAGATGGTTGTACTCAAAGAGTTGTGGTCAACAGCTCAATGTCTGTGCTGAGACCAGTGACGAATGGCATTCTCCAGGGGTCCATATTTGGATCCCTGTATTATTTAACATCTTTGTCAGAACATGGACAGCAGAACTGAGTGCACCCTCAGCAACTTTGCTGGCAACACCAAGACGTGTGGTGTAGTTGACGCTCAAGAGGGACCCTGACAAGTTTGAGAGGTGGACCATGTGAACCTCATGAAGTTCAACAAAGCCAAGTGCGAGGTCCTGAACCTGGATTTCAGGACTGCCCCTATATTGAGGCAATCCCAAACATGGAAACTACAACAGTAATGGGGGGATTGCGAGCAGCCCAAAGGTGAAGGACTTCAGGGACTGGTGGCTGAAAAACTGAGTATGAGCAAGTCAGTAATGTGTGCTCACAGCCCAATTGTATCCTGGGCTGCACCAAAAGAAGTGTGGCCAGCAGGTCGAGGGAGGCAATTCTGTCCCTCTACTCTGTTCTGGTGAGACCCCATATGGAGTACTGCATCCAGCTCTGGGATCACCAGTGTAAGAAAAACATGGACCTTCTTGCATAGGTCTAGAGGAGGGCCATAAAGAAGATCGTGGGACTGGAACACTTCCCTGTGAAGGAAAACGCACAGAGTTGGACTTACTCAGCCTGAAGAAGCCTCTGGGGAGACCTTAGAGCAGCCTTCCAGTACTTAAAGGGGCCTACAAGAAAGCTGGAGATGGACCTTTTACAAGAGCATGTAGGGCGACAAGGAGGAATAGCTTTAAATTGGAAAAGCGTAGATTTAGATTAGCTATTAGGAAGAAATTCTTGAGCATGAGGGTGATGAGACCCTGGAACAGATTGCCCAGAGAAGTTGTGGCTAACTTATTCCTCTAAGTGGTCAAGGTCAGGTTGAATGGAGCTTTGATCAACCTGGTGTAGTGGAAGGTGTCCCTGCTGACAGCAGTGGGGATGGAATCAGATGATCTTTACGGTTCTTCCTAACCCAATATATTCTATGATTCTATGACTTGAAAAAGTAGGTGACTGATGTGCTTATATTTGAAGTCATAAAAAAGTCATTTATTCAACTGATGGCACCTCAGGCTGCAGCTTCTTCAGCCTCATGTTCATGCACTAGTTGTAACTGAGCTGCTATAGCACAGATGGTGCAGTGCAGGCAGCATGTGAATCTCAATGATGAGAAGAAAGGATGGGCCAAGGAAGAACATGAGATTTTTGGTGCAGGCCAGGAGACAGGAAGAGGAGTCGTGAATAAGGAAGGGGAAGTAAAGAGAAAATATCTGACACAGTTCCTAAGCACATTCCCTGCTGCGCAATAAAAGCTGTAGAGGGACTTTGGAAGTAAAGAGGACATGATAATGTAACTATACATTAAATTGTGAAGCAAGAAAACTACATTGAAACAACACCATTAGCATCATGCAGTTAAGCATTCAACGGCTGGAAATTCTGATAAATGTTCAGGCAACTGTGATTTTTGCATTTCTGCAACACTTGAGAGCCTGACTACAATGTTAACAGCATACTCTTCATGTTGACTTTGTGCATGATACACCAGTGTTCCCAGCCACGTTTTGGTTATTACTTCCCATTCTGAGGATCCAGGACCTGGGACCTGTTTCTTTTCATATTAATACTCATGTAAATTCCAAGTAAACTGCACTGAATTCAAAGAGACACTGTCACTAAAAAAAAACAACAAACAGATGCAAGCAGGAATGAAATGATATCCTATTCTTACATAATCAACAGAAACTTAAAGTGGCAAGTAGCTGGCAAAAAAATACCACTGTAAAATCCTAAAGTGAAGAGTGCAATCTTTATTTTGCAGAAAATGGGATTTTACTCTAAATGAGCCTTGTAGATTTCAAAATATGCTTTGTAAAAACATTGCTAATTGTCAGATGATTGAGTCACTCTAACTGAAGCCAGTAAAAAAATCATGCCACTGCAGCAGTCAAGATTTTAAGGCTCTAGACTATTTTTAACAGCATGCAAAAGAATATAAAACATGTAATTATTCGAATGAGAAATGCACGATCTGAAATGTGCAGCGTTTTGAAAATAAGCAAGCATCCTGACACCTGTAACACTGCTGCAATTTGGCTGGCACTGTGATTATGCCAACTATTAGTGCCGTTGTCACCCAAAATGCTGAATAGTAGCAGGGGCTAAATGCTTCATTTAGGTGAGCAAACATACCAGGGCTTCTAAATGAATTACAATAGAAAGATCTTCCTTGGCTAATTGCTGTAGTGCCACCGGCACAATTTGGCAGAAGGATGGTGCTGTCAAAGAGGAACACACTTCTCAGTTTGGGGTTATGTTATTCCTTCAATGTCTGACATAAATGTTTTAATTTCTCCTCCACCTTGCAGAGTTAGGGCATGTGTATATGTGTGTAGACTGCTGTACTAACACCCACACTATTATCTATTTACTAACACTGGCCCATGAGCATTTGGGTCCAGATTATTCACTGCTGGAGGTTAGCACACACCCACTGAAATCATGGTGACATCCCAGTTGAGACTCCTGCTCTTATATTCCAGAATTTGTAGGCTGCTCTTTTAAGCTTTCAAACCCAGGCACACTGTCTGTATTCATGTCTGCTTAACAAAAACTTCTTCCTTTTAAAGCAAAACAAGGAAAAACTAAGGTGAACAAAGTGACATGTCTCATTAGGTAAAATCCTCCAAGAAAACACATTCTTTACCTAAATCAGTTGTGGCAGCTATTAATATTGCTGCCAGCTGGTACAGGAGGCCTCTTCAAGTGTACTGAGGTCTCAACTTAAAGGTCTCCTGACAGTGCATCCACTGTGGCATTTTAAAAATGAGCCTTACTCAGCTAAGCCTGCTTAATCTTTATTTGCAATGACTTAAGTGATTATTCAGGCCTCAGCAGTTCATTAGTTTTAATGGTGAATATTGGTATCCATAGCCAGGTGTCAGTAGTGTCTAGGGGAAAGGAAACACTTTCCTGAATGCAGGTCTCAGGACAGTGAGGAAACAGGTGAGGCTCACATCACATTTTGGAGACAGTCGTTTCAACATTTTTGCTATATTCCACCATACCTTGGATAACTCCAAAGATACAGCCTTGGAAGAACCAGCTAACCTCATTCATTTCCAGAAGGTCTGAGGAAGAACAAGAAGTGGCTACCCAAAGTGTGAATGGTTACAAGCGTAAATCCACATTAAATTTTCACTCAACTCTGCCTCTGGCAAAATTCAACTTAAACCAGCATTTGAACAAGCAAGGTGCAGACTTCAAGTGTCAGTTCAGGGGCAGGGTATCTTGAGGGTGCAACACTTACAGACATGGGAAAACAAATAAAGCTGAAACTTGCAGTCATCTTTCACAAATATCTCCCCATCAAGTTAAACCATGCAAAAAATACCTCAATGCACAATAAATCCCAAATACTGCAAATTAACCAGACGAGCTATCCTTCTTTGAATACCTGCAACATTTGACACTGAAGATACGCAGTGGATAAAGAACTTTCAATTTTCCTCCTGGTGTGTACTATGTCCGATTTCCAAGTTGAGTCTGCTGTCTAAAGACATATCTAGAATGAAGCATTTATATGGTAAAATGAAAAATGGAACTACAGTCTCACACAAATCACACATGTCAAGAACTTCCCAACTACATTCCCAATCCTGTAAATTCTTAAAACAAGCTAAAAACAGCTGGATGGCGGCTTGTCCACTGAACCAGAAAAAACACAAAAGCCCATCTCCGGTGCTTCCTGGTTATCATTTCTGGATCACACTGACCTCCTTGGTAAAAATTTTTATGACTGCTCATGGTCAAATAACCCACCCAGCCAGAAGCTCTGCTCTCCCCACATGAATCACAACCAAAAAACCTACCCCAAATTCTAGATCAACATGGGTCAGAAAATCTCTCTCAAAAAAATCTCCAAACAGAAAACACACCTCAGAAACAACTCAGCAGTGTTTGTTTTCCCTGCCACTGTACTTGTGGAGGACCAGTGTACCTACATCACACTGAGCAATCGTCTATGAACAGTCAGACCTGCCTCTGAGCAAAGGTTTGTAAGACCAGGACTTTGCACAATGTCATGCAATGAAGAACTGCTCTTTATAAAGCATATGACATTTTAAAAGGCTGAAAAGGTCCAGCACTGTGCCACTTATTTGTGCACTGTATCACTTTGTTTTTTAACCTATTGTTTCTTTGTTATACTGCTTAGAGCAATGCTAGGCCTGCCAAGCTGCAGGACGGTGCTGGCCTACAGTGCCTGCCACCAGGGCAGCACCAACTGCTTTGGGCAGGTTTGTTGGGAGTTTTCTTCTAGCCTTTCCACTCCATAGGCTGACATTCACACTAAAGAACAGCCAGCTGTATACTTTCCAAAACTCCTGTTTAATATTTACCATTCAGTCATCACATTTGCTTTTTCTTCTTGCAGCTTCACCTCTTTTGGGTCATGAATCCAGACCTCAAGGATGGCTGGGAAAGGAGAGGCTGAACAGCAAATTTTTCTTGCCAATTAGTCTCAAACTGCCCACTCTCCTTGGCCTTTTTGTTTGTTTACTTGCTATTGTCAGTTCAGGACTTCTGTCTTCCTAGAGGCATCTGTGGCCTCCACCCCAGTTGTATACAGCTGCAAGTCAGCTCTTCACCACATCTTCTGTAGTAATCACAGAATTGCAGAGAAGCTGAGGTTCAAAGGGACCTCTAGAGCTCATCCTGTCCAATCCTCTGATCAAACAGGGCAACCTAGAGCCAGCTGCCCAGGACTATGTCTAGACAGTTTTTGAGTATCCCTAAAGAGGGAGTGAAAACAAGTGCTATTATTCCTGTTGTGCAGATAAAGAATCAAGCAGAAATACTAGGGTTTTTCCAAGGAAGTTAAGGAACTACAACGTTAATTTTCATTCACACTAAGCCTTATTTAACATTGCTGGACACTTTAGAGACTATTCCTGCCTGTTTGTAGTACAGGCTGAATAAAGAAGATTAAAGGCTGGAAAAACAAATCTACTGAGTAGTGTGATGGTGGTAACTCAAGTAAGCATCACCTTTTTATTTTATTAACCAACACTTTGACATATTTTTTCCAACGGGTAGAAAAAAACCCTGGTGATCTAATAGAATGCCCCCCCCCCCAATCTAATAGAAAAAAACTGGTCAACAGAAAAAGATGGAGGAAACAGGAAGAAGAAAGTGAAGGACTTAAGGGGAAAAGGTTAAAGATGATTAAAGATGAACAATATTAGTGCAAGATACAAGGTTCTACCAAGTCTAGCCTGACTACCTTTTGCAGACTTTTTAGTCTCACAAAGCCCAACAGCTGAGGTTTGGCCAAAGCATACTGTCTGCAGCAGCAATAAGGCTTTACCTAAGTAAGACTACTAAGACAAAGTCAGTCCACCATTGTTCGTGGTTAGAAAAGGGAGGGAAGGAAGACAGAGAGCACAGGGAGGCTGAGGAATGGGGTCTGCAAGGCATTTACAACCAAAGGTCAGGGAGCAGCTGATGAAGTCGGTTCTTTGTTGGATGAGGTGCTCTGCTGGCCCAAGAACTGGCTGAGGCTCCTGCTGTGCTGGCTCCTCCTGTCCTTTACTCCTCAGGATCACTCCTGAGACTCCACTCATTCACTCTTAGGATCAGTCCTAATCCTAAATATTAATATATATATTTATTTTTTAAAACTAGTATGTATGGACCTCATTTTCTGTCTGTTTGGTCTGTCATCACGTTGTTCTGTTGTTAGAAAAAGAGTGAAATTTTACGTTAAAATGATTATATAGAGCAATAGAAATGACCATATTTGAAAAGTTTTCGAATCAACAGTAGATTTCTGTATATTAAAAGAATGTTGTAACTTTGCTGTGGTAGCCTCAGCAGTAGAAACTAACAAAATAACAAGAAGGGCACAGGATGTCTGGCCTAAGACCTTGTAGTTTATAACAAGGAAGCTTTGTCTAACTGTGCATCTTGATAATACAGATGTTCATAACTTTTGTATTGCTTACAAGGAAGCTTTGTCTAGAAATAGAAACCATGTATCTTGAGCAGCAGCAAATTTCATCTCTGCAATATCGGTAGCTTTGTGAAATCATTGCAACATAGAAGGACAAGCCAAGTGAGGAAGTGAGAATGCTGGCGTCCACATAATGGTTGGGGCCTGCCCGAAGAGCAGAAAGGTGAAAAGAATAAGGGGAGGAAGACTCCTTACCTCATCGGGACGACCACCAGAGGGGGCTGCGCAAGCGCAGAAGAGACTGATCTCTCTGGACTAATGAAGTAATCGTTAATGCATATGTATTAGTCAATGATGTAATCTGTGCTGTATATGTATTAGTTACGAAATTTTTAGTGTATAAACTGCGATCGCGATGTGACGGGGTCGAAGGCAGATTTGGGCGCGTGCCCCTGGTTTCCCAGCGCCGCAATGAAGCACCTCATATAACCATTCCGGTGGTTATGTGTCAGTTCTTAACGCTAACACTGTGATGGATTCCGTCCTCCTCCTTCTCCTCCGGGGCTGCAGGGTCCCACGTAAGAGGCCAGGCCGAGGGAGCAGCGCGGCAGTTCTCTGCCGGCGGGGCAGGACGAGAAGAGGAGCTGGGGGCAGTTGTAAACTGAAACGCGGGGCTCACACCGAGCTCCGCGGCGGCGCCGGCGTATGTGGTCTGCCCTCCTCCCTCGGCCTCCCCCTCGCGGTGCCGGTGCCGCCGCCGCTGCGGCAGGGCGGGATAGGACGGACCGAGGAGAGGCGAGACAAGATGGCGGCGCTCCCGGACGGGAAGTAAAGGCGGGCCGGGGCGGGTGTCACGGCCGAGCGGCTCTCCGGGCTCCCAGCCGGGTGCTGAGGCGGGCGGCCGGCTCGGGGAGTGGGGGAAGCGGCGGGAGGTGCTGCTGGGCCCGGGCCTTTGCCCGGCGTTTCCGGCAGAGCCGCGGGTGAGCGCTGGAAGAGTCGCGGCGGCCGGGAGGCCAGGCCGTAACCTCGTTTTTTGCCTTGTCTTAACCAAGGCGGCTGAGAAGCAGCAGGCGAGGCCGCGTGTGCCCTGTTTACTGTAGCACTGCAGTAACACCGAGACCATTCGGCACAAATGGACGAGAGCAGATGGTGCCCTGCTGCACTGCAGGGCTGCACCAAGTGCTGGCTGGGCCACGGAAACTGGTATGCAGGTATGTTCATCAACAGTGGCATTGTCACATTAAACTAAGATGCAGCTGAAACATGTAGAAGGCAGTAACTGGGTGACATAAAAATGCCACATTTAGTGGTCACAAAGATACGCAGTACTTGCATAAACTCCATATAGAACAAAGCCCGCTGGTAAGTACAGTTCATCTGGATCATACCCAGATGCCATTTTTGACATCTCTTCCGGCTGTTTCGAGTTTGTTATGTACTGGCAGAAAGGCCCAGTCAGGTACACTTCATACAGCCACTTGCAGCAGGAAAGGAAGTGTACTTGCTAGAACAGAAACTCATCTGTTGTATGTTTTGTAAAAATATGGCATATATGTAACAATGGTTCAGAGCCACGAGGTATTTAGTCCTATGGTTTTCACACAGTGTTGAATGCGCTGTTTTTACTTGCCAGCTGGGTTAGTAAGCACTGAAGATACGAACGTACCTACTCTTTTTAGTTTAGTTTAAATCTCAGCAATGTCAGTGCTTTGCAACATTCACTATTGGGACTACAGAAAATAAATTGTTTGTGTAAACTGATGAATGTAACGTTATTTTTAACAGCTTGAGATTATATGTATTCCCTAGCAGTATTTATATACACACAATCAATTACTAAAACAACTTTGGATGTATAGAAAAGCAACTTTGTCTTAAGTGATCAAGTATCATAAATTGGAAAAGACAACAGGATGGCTGGAGGACTGAGAAGGTAAGACAGTTAAGACTTCATACTGTACTTTACTGGTTATAGCCTCCAACATTATAATAGTGCAATGGCAACTCATGTTCCCCTCCTGACATGAGGGAAGGCAGTACTGCATTTGCACATAAGGCTTGCACACCACTGGTGGCTTTTACCTAACTTACTTAAAACATTTTAAGAGGTCACTAAGGCAGGGGATGAAAAGCTCTATTTAACTCAAGTGAAGTCTTCCTACTCAATAAAGGTACACAGGTGCTAGATGAGAATTAGGCAGTATATTCAGTTGTTAACAATGCTGTGTGTATTAATTGCACCACTTTTTCCACTTTCCTAGGCAGCTGCAAGAGATAATTGGATATGTCACACCAATGGTAAACTGAGACTAAGGATCAACCCTTGAAGTGGCACTGTACTTGAAGTGGTACTGTGAGGAAGCCACAGTACTGAAAGCAATCAGTGCTTGACTGCACGAGACCATGCCTCTCACAGAAGGCAAATGATGTCTTATTTCAAAAGCTTTGTGAAATGTAAACTCGGTTACATCCTGTTGAGTTTCTTCTTTGCAGGGCAACAATAAAAGAATGATGGACTTTCTTAGAACTGTTATTTGAATAACTGAGGGAAAGCTTAGGTTCCTACTAATGTATGTTCAGGATGTCTGTCCTGCTCTCCCTTGAAACCAAGATTTGTTCTCTGATCTACTCTGAAGACCACAGAGGTCAACTTAAAAAAAAGTGGTGGATGGGGCAAAAAACTTATTTTCATCTAGAAATAAATGGATTACCTCTGAAAACATGAAGCTGTCAATATAAAGGAATGCAACAGCAAAGTGAGCCAAAAATTCATACCTGTCACTAAAAAAAATCCCAACTGTGTACAAAGGCAAGCAGTGAACTGATTTAAATTAAGTAATACTGCTGCAGGCATCCAGTGCTTGTAACTGTATCTTCAGCTGTCTACTGCTAAAAGCATGCTTCAGGTTGTTAAACGTGTGCTTTAATGATTTAAATAATGTATCAAATATTTGGCTTTATACTGTATGTGTCTAAACATACATCAAGATAAATAGCAACTTGTCCTGGTTTTATTCAACAGTGCTTTACAGTTGCATGTATGTTCCAGTATGATGCTGAGACTATTAGATTTCCAGTACTTGGACAAGTACTAGAACTTTAACTTGACTAAATTGGGATTAGGTTTTTCTCATTTTAGAAGAGCACTCCTAGCAAGAAGCACAGTGCTTAAATCAACAGTGATTTATTATGATTAGGAACATTCAATAAATACCAAGCTCTTAGCTTCAGTTTGGCAAACTTTCCCCATCAAAAATCTGTTGGTTGGTTTATTTTTCTGGTATAAACTCCATTGCCAGCAATGGATGTATCGGAACAAGAAGTTAATAAATAATACACACACCCACAAAATATTGCTGTATTCTAAACATACCTCCTGTTTTAAAGGCATGAGATTTACTAAACAAATCTCAAGGAAGTTCTTCATAGAAGAAAATCTGACTACAGTCTCTTGAAAAATATTTTCTTCACTAATGCTACCTGGTAGTTTATTTCTGGAGTATTTATTTTTGAACAGTATGGATGAATTGTTTAAAAAACAAGTTTTTTTCCCCCTCTTTAGCTGAGACATGTAACTAGTACTAAAGTGTATGAATTTAAGAGTGGTGTATCTCTTTTGTTGAGGATTTCATGGCAATCGTGAATAAGCACAAAATAGAGGAAAGGAAAAGGGCTATAATTCTCTGTTAGTAGGGCCCTGGGGAATTATTTTTTTTGTTGTTTTCTTATTTCTTTTTAACTACTGTTCAAATGTTAAAGGTATATAATATTTTAATTTAACAGATGTATTGACTTTCCATGAAGAAAGTGTTAACTGAGGAAATATCCTGCTCATGATGATAATCACTTTCAAGTACTTCATTTGAATATGCCCCTAAATTCCATTCATTTTTTCTTAAAAATGTTTTTATAAAAGCATGAAAACAACAGAAAACCAATTAATAAGAGTTAGTCTTGTATATTTTTTTCCACAACTGTATTTTACATATTGCCAAACTTCTGCTTTAGCAAAAGAAACAAAGAATAAAAATAAATTCTCTCCCAGCTATTTACACACAGGAATTACCCTGATGTGGGACTTCACTCTACAGTCCCTCTAACCCAAGGTATAATCTTAGGTGTATCTTTTTGTGATTTTGGTTCTTGGAAGTTTTCAGCAAACCTTTCTCTTGCTTTATCCCAGTTCTTTTTATTCTTGCTCTGGACGATCTGAACATCATCAGCTGAGGCTGGTCTACTGGTACCCAAACCTGCATGCATCTTACGTAACTGAAGGTGAATCTGTCAAATACATTAAATACGGTAACTGCAAGTTAGGTATTCTAAATACTTTTTAATCATGTTTTACAATACTAATTCCAACCCCCATCCCCAAGCGCTTTTCTTTAAGCCTCTAATAATGTAGAATCATAGAACAGTTTTGGTTGGAAGGGACTTTAAAGCTCATCTACTTGGAACCCCCTCCACAGGCAGGGACGCCTTCCACTAGACCAGGTTGCTCAAAGCTCCATCAGACCTGGCCTTGAACACTGCTGGCGATACAGCATCCACAACTTTTCTGGGCAACCTGTGCCAGTGCCTCACTGGCACACCCTCATAGTGAAGAATATACCTAGATCATATGCAGACATCTAAAGTACTATTAAAAAGATGTGTCAAATCATCAGTTCCGGAACTATGAGCTGGAGTGCTGAATGATGTAACCTGCCACTAACTGTGAAGTATTCCTCACTGAGTCAATAGTGTATAATCCCTGTGCTGGGTAGTCTGCCAACAAAAGGTACAGCGTGGCTCTGAGCAGCCCTAGTGCCAAAAGACAGCACATCCCTGGTGAACAAAAATGGGGCTGCCGCAGAGGCCCAGAACTTGATGGCTGCAGTGACTTTAGCCAGTTGTTTCTTCCTCATGGTCCATTCACCTAGCTTGATTTTGTGCCACATCAGCCTCAGAGAAAGTGAAGAATTCCACCAAGTCCATCTTGAATTCTTATCACTTAAAATTACTTCAATCTTCCTCCAGACTTTATATTCAGTTATGAGATTTTTTAATTGCTAGAAGCTGCCTGTACTCCCCTGTTCCCTACCAAACACTGGTATTACTGGCATTTTCTACTTAAGGAACAGAATCACTGAAAAATTTCAAAATACTTCATTAAGTGATTTGAGATTAGCCCTACTAATTATTCCTTCCTAACCAGGAATTTAAAATGTTTTAAGTGAATAGTGGCTTACAATTGCACATTTTCCACTGCAATTACATTTCTATTCCTTTTTGCTCCAAGTAAAATCCAGATAGACCTACCGGATCCTTGATACCACCACCATCCTTGCCCAGGCCTTCCCCCTTCTTCCATCCCATCTTCTCCAACATTTTATGTCCTTTATTGCTGTTGCTGATTTCACTTTGAAGAAAGTTTAAGATAACTGATAAGCAAGAGTTAATACAAACAGTATGCTCTCTACCCAAATACCAAAAAATGTTCATGCTCTAGAAACCAGGACTCAACTATGATACTGTTCCTACTTCCACAAAGAGCTATGCAGGATACACTCGTGCTACATTTTGCAAGTTCTTTCATGAGTATTACCAAAGTTATTTCAAGCCTCTGGTCAATACCAACATAAAAGTCCTTCTGAACTACTTAATTATTTCTGGAATTAACTTCTGGGTGGGAACTGACTGCACTAAGTAAAAGACAGTATCGCTGCCTCACCACCAAATCATCCTAACACATATTTCATTGTCTCATACTTCCTTTTACTAGCCTACAAGTTCATTTTTTTTTTTAAGAAAACATCACTACAACTACAGAAAGGAATGATCAAAGAGGAAGACTAAAGCAAGTGTCATTACGTCCTAAGAAAAGCTGGGTATTGACAGTGAAAGAAACTGCAGGTGAAAAATCTGCATGTGTACCATTAGTGGGACTGGATAAGAAAAATAGAAGCTGAGGCACTTGAAAAAGATAATATTGAAGGTGTTAGTAGTGCAGCTGGAGAGTTCTTTCTGTTTTGAGTTGGTAAGGAAGTGATCTAACCGTTCTTACAGCCAAACAATTCTGTACGGAAGGTGAGAAAGAGCATATGAACTACTAACTGAGAATAGTTTACTATTTTCTATATCTCTTAACACATTATATATAGGTAATGAATACTTAACAAACTGTATCCTAGTAACAAATTAGTACTTCTTTATCGTAATTTTTTAAGATTCACTGAAGACATGGAAGATGCCTCCCTTCCACTCACACCAGTCTCCCCATCCCCCCATCAAACTTACATATGAACAGATGCTGGACTATCATCTCTCTGGAAGGTTCCTTCACTTCCAATGGTCTCTCTGCGTTTTCCCGCTCTGTCTTTGTACTTTGGATTCTTCAGTGCTTTATTGTCTTCATACTCTGTGTTCTTTATAAGCAGGTTAAATACCATCAGGAGAAATAAAGTGGACTTTACATTCTTTATTTTTGATAACTTTGCTGCTGCCAAAAGTAAGGCATTTTCAGTCTATTTCATTAATTCTACATCTTAGAACATAATTCTCCATAATTCTCATTTAGTGGTTTCTTACCTTACAGCCATACTTTGTAAGGTGTGTGTGTGATGTTATTGCCATCATCACATAACAATTTTATTTTGCCAAATTCATTAATTTCAGAGGCTGTAAATAAATTAATAGGTTCTCCTGAATCTTCACTTGGTACGAAGAACCAATCTCTCCATTTTAAGCAAAAAACTATACAGACATGCTTTCTGTTTAAACATTCGCCTGTTCCTTGGCAATTAATTTCTTCAGAATAGGTGACAGAACTAAGCGTGTGTATAGATGCCATACTGGTATTATTTTGGTACCTCAAGAATTTGAGAGAATTGATGTCATTCTGATTTCTACACAAATACTTAGGACAAGTGCTAGCTGTAACCCCATGAAAATAATCTCCAAAACAGAAGTAACTAGAATACTTACATACTATATTGCCTGTAAATTCATGCTGGCTTTCTTCTATAGCAAAGCAGACTTAAAATAAAAACTTAAAAAATTTCCCTCTTCCTTCCATCAGTTTTTCAGTTGCTCATTATTTTTCCTTTCCAAATAAAAAATAGCACTGCAATTTAGTGCAAACTTAATTTGCAGAAATAAAAGTTGAAATTACTTTAAAAAAAAATAAAAATCTTAAGCTCAAAAGGATGAAGACTCTTGCACACAGTAGAATGAATCTTCTTTTCCTAAACTTTTAACAGAACTTTCATCACCTCTTACTATCATTTCTCTCTGTAAAGGTTTGTAAATAATTATTATTTAGTGTGCAAAAGACAAACTTGAGTTAAACTACCAGGTCCATCTTATAACAAAAAAACCCACACAGTTCTCATTTAGTGGTTTCTTACCTTACAGCCATACTTTGTAAGGTATGTGTGTGACGTTATTGCCATCATCACCAGGCCCAAGTCTGAATGAATTTTAGAGTTCTCCTTATTCACTGAATTCTATGGCTTAACATAGGAATCACAAAATAGATGTAGACATCAAACCCTTAATCAACTTCTATTTTAAACTCACCTGTAAACCATATTTTTCCCGTATTTTTTTTAATGCTTTTCTTCTGACTAACTCTCTCTCTTCTTTGCTAAGTGCTGGGCAAACTAAAAGGAAGAACACAGGATTGATTTTCTAATTAATAATGTAACAATATTTTGAAACTTAAGACAACTGTGAGAGTTTTTATTCTAGTATTACTACACATGGACACACAGACCAAGAAAAAAATACATCAGCATGTTGTCTTGGGTTCAGCAGTAGCAGTCATTTTTCTCCTTCTTAGTAGCTGGTGCAGTGCAGTGTTTTTGACTTTCAGCCTTGGAACAGCGCTGATAACGCAGATGTTTTTAGCTGCTGCTTAGAAATGTTTGGTCTGACCAGGGCTTTCTGAGTCTCATGGCCTGCCAGGGAGGAGGAGAAGCCAGGAGGAAGCAGAGACAGGACACCTGACCCAAACTAACCAAAGGGGTATTCCATACCACAGCACGTCATGCCCAGTATTTAAACTGGAGGCAGTTACCTGGAAGGGCTAGCTCACTGATCCGTCAGGCTGGATATCGGTTGGCGGGTGGTGAGTGGTTGTATTCTCTTCCCTTGTTACTTCCCTTATCATTATTATTATAGGTGGTAGCAGCAGTGGTTTGTGTTATACCTTAGTTACTGGACTGTTCTTATCTCAACCCGTGGGAGTTACATTCTTTGGATTTTCCTCCCCATCCCTCCAGGAGTGGGGTGGGGAGGAAGGGGGGTAGTGAGAGAGCGACTACGTGGTTCTGTGTTACTGACTGGACTTAAACCACGACACATGTATTGTGCACTATTCCTAGGTCAGAAAAAAACTAAGAAAACTGAAGTAGTTATTATGTTTATAAAATAAACAGCCATAAAAATAAAGAGCCAAAATGAAAAAAAAAAAAGACCAACCCAACAAACATATCCTCAATAACATGACTAACCAGAAGATTCCTTTTTTCTGTCAAGGCGAAGATGTGCTCTGACTTGTCCTGGTTCACATCCATCACAAGTATCACTGCCAGGATGTATGTGAAAAGAAAGCACAGTTTCACCAATCTTCACTTCATCTCCATGCTCCAAGATGTAGGGATCACATTTTGTTTTAGGCTACAGCAAAAGAAAGTTTTGAAACCCATGTTAATTAGTTACTAATGAAGGGTACTTCTATTCTAAAGGTATTCTATTTCATGAATACTTCTCATAATTTATTAATTCAACTTAGTCTGACAAATACAGATAAGTGTTCAACTGCAGTGGGTATTTCACACTAGCAACTGCAACCATTGCAACTTAATATAAAGAAAACATAAAATATTTTAAGTAGCCCTAAAATGAGAAGGGAAACAATGAAAAGACAAATGTCTGAAAGAACCTACAATGATGTTGTTAGTCATTTGCCATAATGTGTTTAAGAAGCCCATATGACTAAAGTTTTCTTCAATGTCGCATTATAAACAACAGGTACTCACCTGAAGAATGTGATTTCCATTAACAACTGTTCCATTCTGACTGCCTTGATCCACAAGAACGTAATTTTGCAAATCGTGGTCAAAATACACTTCTGCATGGAACTGATAAATAGAAGCCTAAGTGAAGTGTTCTTACTAAAGAAATACTTAGCAATGTATATGCTATTTTAAAGTAAGATTTCAGAATACATTTTAAATGAGTGGCTCTGGTATGCTTAATAATCCAGAACACAGCTACTAACAATCATTTGCTGTTTCTTTTATATCCTTTTGGATACTGAGACTAACAACCTATTTTTTTTTGTTTGTTGTTGCAATTTTACATAGACACTGAACAGGCAAAACACAACTCCAAACTCAAGGACATACTCTACCTCCAGAAATGGCCGCTGAGCAAACTAAACATCAATTTCTGCAGCCTTTTAAGGATCTCAGTAAAAACCAGAAGTCTAAAAAAACCTGTGACTGCTTCAGATTTGACAAGCAAAGTTCCCTTTTGTTACAGTTGAGAAAAAAACTAAGAATCAATCTGGGAAGAAAATGTTCATTTAAAACCAAATCTCTTCTTATCTTTGAGCAATAATGGAATTTCTACATTCCGTTAATAATAAAAAAAAATTAATAAAAAAAGAAATCAAAGTAGCATTTTGTAGATTGGCTAGCATTTACAAGAGGAATACTCCCATAACAGTGGAGAATGACTAGCTCATTCAATAAATAATTTAATTCCTAGCTCTGTTTTATTGATTAGGATGAACACAAACTTCTGAAGATGCTCTATCTACTGGGTGCAGTGTTTTTTTTTTTAATCTCACTTTACACTCAAGAAAATGACAAGTGGTACACAGCTATTAACTATGAATAGCAAGGTAAACAAACTAGTAGCCAACTTTTTGGTTCTACAGATCTGTAATTTATTTTCCTGCCTTTGAGTCCTTATCTGCAAAATGAAGTAACTTCTCATATAAACAGGCAGGTATTAAAATGGCTGCATCACAGAAAAATAAAAGACTTGGATTCTTCATGCACCCAATTTCAAATACGTGCCTGAAAAAAAGTCATTATTAGCAGGAAAAGATTTGTTCTGGAAATTATACAGTATGAAATATGACACATGGCTGATTAATCAGAACTATCATCTGAAATAGACATAGTGAAACAGTAAAGTGTATTTCAGATATTGCATCTGCAGACATTTTTTTTTTTGTTTGGATGACATGTGTTTGTCAATCTAGATTTTCTTTTATTAAGAGGGCTGTATTCTTGGTCTGCAAGAGCCATTAATTTATTTTTAATGCTTCTTAGCCAGACAAAAAGTTTTCCATTAAAACCTGTTCCTGAAAGAAATGATGTTATTATACAGTTGCCTTTAAGAAACATAAAATCTGTTAGTCTACCTCAACTGCAAGGATTTGACTACTTTATGGCAAAGTTCTAACTAAGTACATCAATATTCTACATACCATTAGTAATTAACAGAACAGTAAGGTTTCTTCCAGTTCAACAACTAATAAATGCAAGATTCAGAATTTTTTTTTACTGTGCATTAATTACACTGTGGACTAGTAAAAGTCCAATAAAAAAAAAAATTAGCTTTTCTGTGCTTTAAAATTGCACTGCTGTTCACGTTAAATTCCCATTCAGGAAAATAGTGTATGTTTTCCTTTTTCTAACTTCAAATATCTTATTCTCAAAGTTCTTAAGAAAATTAATGTAAGGTTTTGAAGAATGTAAAAACATAAAATATAAAGCTTCATTCATATGATGATCTATCTTTCAGAAGACAAAAACGAGTTACCTTACTGACTCCAACTTCAGGAATCTCAAGTGTGTGTCCAACATCTTTTTCTCTGAAAAGCCAAGTTGATATATAAATCACAACAAATTATAAATACGTGCATTTCACTAGAACTTTAATACTATGTTTTCATTCTGAGCTATTGGGGAGCTTTACAGATATAAACCACTGTGTTGCTATACAGACCATGTGAGTACTTGCTTCAGGTCCCTTCTTCCATCTATAAACTATACACAGTAGACAATAAACATATGATCAAGCTGTACCGTTAAATTTTTATCTGTAAATCTGTCATTTCTATCTGAACGTTTATACTCATACAATGCCTGTAAATAATAGTCTGAAGCCTGCATTTTTTAGTCTTTTCAGTGAATCCTGGCATTGGTATTCAATACTCAATGCAGAAGTTGACTTCTTGGAAGTGTTAAGCAGGTAATACAAGCAATGAAGGAGTAACCTGTATAATTTTTTTTTTAATCAAAGATACTGCAGTAGGAGCAAGAATTTGTGTATTAGTTCCTTATACTAAGGATGAAGAAGCAACGCAGCTAGCAAAGGACCTACATGCAAAATACAAGAATTATCATTTGTTAATCTTCACATAAATGTACCTAGAATACTCAAGATGTAAGAATGAATCAA